AGGAGAAGTAGTTCTCCTCCGGTCGCCTTTTACTCTTGCTACCACGCGCCAGCGGCCCGAGATTTAATCCATATATCGGCACGGTTACCGATGATACATATCGACGCGGTTACCAATAATGCCGACAGGCATGTGTTACCATAAAATTATCGCAAACATTGAAAAGAGTAACTCTGCATTGAAAGTGACTTCAATAATTTATATCAAGTATTTATTTATATAAGTATTAGTTTTTACGTGATATAAGAAATTTATTTATGGTAAGTGTAAAACAGTAAAATATATTTAAGTAAGAGAGTAAAAATAACAATAGATAAATGTCATAGAGTGAATCAATTATTGAAATATTTAAAAAAATTAAAACACTATAATAGATTTGTATTAGCGTTAAAGTTTCTTTAAAACATCAAAAATAAAAACTAGTAAGGCAATAGTATAATAGTTTATATATAAACGCGCCTATATATAAGCGCGCTTTGCGATCTCAGGCCGCGCGCTTTGATCTCGTGCCACGAATGCCGCAAAGAAAAATGATTATTGATAAACATAAAAATTCGGTCAATACTAGGCTGCAACAAGTTGTCGACCAAAAAAAGTTGTCGGTTAGTGGGCCGACTATTAAGTCAAAGGTCTTAGAAACGGTTCTTTTCAGAACCATACATTTATTTAACAAAAAGAATATCTCTCGCGTTTATCAGAACTACGCTTAATGGCTTTTTTCATAGCCACAAAAAGTATTTTACTTATTTTATAGATATATATTTGTATATATATTTATATATAAACATAACTATTATAATATTGTCTTACTAGGTTTTATTTTTGATGTTTTAAAGAAAATTTAACGCTAATTATACAAATCTATTATAGTGTTTTATTTTTTATTTTTAATATTTTAATCATTGATTCACTCTATGACATTTATCTATTGTTATGGTTTTTTACTCTCTTACTTAAATATATTTTACTGTTTTACACTTACCGTAAGTAAGTTTCTTATATCACGTAAAAGCTAATAATTAAATAAATAAATACTTGATATAAATTATTGAAGTCACTTTCAATGCAGAGTTACTCTTTTCAATGTTCGCGATAATTTTATAGTAACATATGCCTGTCGGTATTATTGGTAACCGTGCCGATATATAGATCAAAACTCGGGCCAAAGAGAAGCCTGAGAGCGGCCACGGCCCATAGACTTAAGCCCCTTGCACAATGTGAGGGAATAGTGATAGCGATAAGCAATAGACAGAATTCCAACTCGTAGGAAATTTTATCGCTATTGCTTATTCCGTTTTCTGATCTGCATTGATACATCTGCATTTTTGTATGTTAAATTCCACTGTTTCTACCGTTATTTATAAATATAAACTCTTTAAAACTAGTGTTATTTCTATCGCTATCGCTATTTCGTCCATTGTGCAAGGAGCTTTATATAATAGACGGAACATTTATATGACGAAGTTGAAGACAACATTAAAGGACAGAAATAGTGCTGGAGTAGTTGTCTCTCTCTCTTATAATAAGAGCGGTGGGGCACCAATCATCTTAAGCGCATAGACATACAGTGACTCATAAAAATATTTGAACACTTACTATAGAAAACTTTTATTAATATGATATGTGGGTTGTATAAAATTTTTAAAAATATTTGCATTATAAGTAGATACAAGTATCAAGATTAGATAGGTAAAGTCTTAAATAAATCTGAAAACATATGTAAGAGTTCTGAAATATTTATTATAAACACACACTTTACGCGAAAGCCACAAAAGTATTTGAACAGATAATTATTATTACATTTAACAATTGTTAATATTTAGTAGGCCCACTTTTAGACTTAATTACATGTTTAAGGCGACTGTTCATACTATATACTAATTTTTCAGTAACACTTGGTGCAATAGAGTTCCGTACTTCAAGAATTTTTTCTTTTAAAACTATCTTAGAAGTTATGTCAAATTTTTTCAATTCTTTTCCTATTATTGCCCATAAATGTTCAATCGGATTAATATCTGGACTTTGTAGTGGTGTTTGCAATGTATGGGGAGTATTATATAAAATCCATTCCTTAACGATTTTTGCCGTGTGTTTGGGATCATTGTCGTGTTGAAAATAAAAATCCTCAGATAATCCCAATTTTGTAGCATTTTTTCTTAAATTTTCTTGCAAAATGTGCAAATAGTTATACTTATCCAATATTCTATAAATATTAAGTTTCCTGTTCCGCTTGCTGTCATACACCTCCATGTTTAACAGTCGCACGCAAATTTTCGATTTCCATTTCTTTGTTTGCTTTTCTCCACACAAATCTCCGTCCGATCCAAAAACATTAAATTTAGACTCATCCGAGAATATTACCTTATTCCAATGAATAAAATGAATTGTTCTTGGTAATAAATTCTTTGGCAAATCTTAATCTTTTCTTTTTATTACTGTTGTTAATATAAGGCTTCTTTCTAGGAACTCTAGCGTTGTAGTTATTTTTACGTAGAACTTTTCGACATAATTCTGGATGTACATCCTTCTTAAAGTTCTCTTTAACGATTGCTGCAAGTTTTACACATGAAGTACTTGGATTTTTTTGTATTTCACGAACCAAAGCTTTTTCTTCTCTCTCTGTTAGTTTTCTCGGGCGGCCTGAACGGTGCTTGTTTTTTACACTTCCTTCATTTTTTGATATTTTAATAATATAATGTATCGTAGATCTATTTATATTTAATAATTTTGCAATTTCTCCGTAAGATTTTCCTTGGTTACGCAATTTAACAATTAATATCCTTTCGCTTTCTGAAATTTCTGACTTTTTGGGACACATTTTCGTTCTTATCACTCACAATGACTAAACTCTGACTAATGTTGTTCCCGTGCGATCTGTAGGACGACTAGCTACGTAGTTGTTTATATTCGGCGGCCGAAATCTTTTGTTTATGTTTTTCTTTCGAACAAATTTCTATTTGTTCAAATACTTTTGTGGCCTTCGCAAAGTGTATGTTAAAAATAAATATTTCATAACTCTTATATATATTTTCGGATTTGTTTAAAACTTTACATATCTAATCATAATAGTTGTATCTACTTATAGTGTAAAGTAAGTGGTATTTTATATAGTGTAAGTGGTATTTTAAAAAGTTTTATATAACACATATATCATATTAGTAAAAGTTTTCTATAGTAAGTGTTCAAATACTTTTGTGAGTCACTGTATAAGTCTATGCTTAGGCGTAAAAGACCATTACTTTTGACTTGTGTGCTCGAGAGATTATAAAGGTTCGAGTTTTGTATGGATATAATTTTTTTATTATTTTTATTGTTTTTAAAGAGAAACAACAACAGTTGGTTACACTAAAGCATAAACAATTGTTGTTAATCAAAGATAGCTTAATTTAGAGAAATTTTAAGCTAAAAAATATGTTAAATTAAATTCTATAGAAGTGTGAAGTAAATTACATTATAAAAAGATCTACAAATTGTTAGTGTTAATTATTAGCGCCTGCCAAGTCTCTCAACAAGTCTATACATGCTACATGCATGTTATCACCTCTCACTATTTCAATCTCTCAATTGACTCTCGGACGTCTATCTTTGTTGCCCTCGGCCACTCCCTCGGCCACCAATCAACTCACTGCTAGAAAAGAAGAGAACTACTCCACGACTATTTCTTTTACCGAAGCTTCAGCTCCTCTTACATGAATGTTCGGTTTATTATATAAGTCTATGCCACGGCCATAAGAGTTTCTGCGATAGCTTTTCGTGGACATGATTCTATTCCGTGCTAAGTTTGTGGACATGGTTCTATTCCGTGCTATGAGAACACCGACGTGGTGGGGATACGCACCAGACAGAAGCCTGAGAGCGGCCACGGCCATAAAGCCTGTTCTACATTGATCGCAAGCGCAAACGCAAAGTATAAATCTCGTAGAATTGACCAATCACGCTGGTCAATTGGTTGATTTGATCAATGCGATTAGTCAATTCTACCAGACCTGTTCCTTGCGTTTGCGCTTGCGATCAATGTAGAACAGGCTTAAAAGTTTCTGCGATAGCTTTTCGTGGACATGGTTCTATTCCGTGCTATGAGAACAACGACGTGGTTGCGATACGCATACAAGCGAGACCGTTGTCCGTGTGCGCTCGTGGAAGAGTGCAGACATATTGGGTGCTTTCCAACTACGTACACAGGCGACACTGTGTAACACTGTGTCCGTTAGTGTGAGAAAGAGTATATCAGTGCGTCTCACTCACACTAGTGAGTGTAAATTATTAATTCAATTAATGTATTACATTCACATAATTTATATGAAATAATATATACATTAATTAATTAAATAACTGATATTACATATTATATGAATTTAATACTTTAAGATTATGCATCTATAAAATTTAGATTCTTTTTGTAATTTGCAAGCTAAAAATTTATAAAAATAAAAACACTAATAATAATAATAATATATTTTGTACATATTAAATGCTTTTCTACAAATTTTTTACCGCACGTTCACTCATTTTAATAATTAATACAAATATATAATGGCATATTAAGATTTCTTATCATTTATCAATAATACCATGCACTGTTTCCAAGATTATTAATCTCAAAAAAGCGTTTCACGTTGTCATACGCACCAAGCGCGCAACGTAACGTGAACATGCCTCGTCTTTTATCTTGTCGAGCCGGAAGTGGAAAGGAGACGGAACATAATACGTCTGCACTTTTCCACAAGCCGACGTGTCGAGCGTGACGTCACGCACACGGACGGTGGTTCTCGCTTGCATGCGTGCTCCCAGTGGCTCCAACCACCTTGGTGCTAGCCGGCCAAAGTTTGCAACACTGGCGGGCAGTCTTATGCGCGTAAGGCAGCTTAATGCATGCTTATTCGCGGATCTTTATTAATTAAGATCTCGGTAACTATTGCAAATCTAGCAAAATGGTATAGGATTTTTCGACTCAGTTTTACTTCTACCTGCCTACGAGAGATGTTACACCAATTATGGGACACCCTGTATATATTTATTTGAACGAACATCCAACGTAAGACTCAATGATCGTCAAATTATTGTTAGTTTTAAAGATTTTTTTGTAAAACAAGTAGAATATTAAATATTTTTGTAAGTATACTATTATTATATTGTAGAAAAATATTCCGATAAGAGGACCAGCTTCTGACATTCTTGATTTTGACATACGTTATCACGGTCATAGTCCAGAGTGACTTTCAAAAGGTTTTAAGTGATGCTTACTGTTTGTTAAATAGTTAGTAACAAAAAATGATATGACAAAAATAAAGTTTTTTATACATAAAAGGGATAAAGTTCCGAAAACCTGAAACACCCGATTTTTCTGTCGATTGGTATACTACTGTATTTTGGTGCGCTGATTACGAATATGATAGTGAAAATCACCGACAAGATCATTTTCAAGGTCAAAACTATAAAATTATCGTTTTTTAAACATTATTTTGATAAATACTTATAGCACAAAAAAATTTTTCAAATAAAAGTTGTAGCTCTTGAAAAAATACATCATTTATGTCGTATGCATTTTTTGCATAGAGCCACCAGTTTTCGAAAAAAATAAGATAATAGGTACGAGAGTGACTTGTGTGTGTGCGTGAAAGGGTAATTATGTAGAATAGGGGAGCCACCTCCGATTTCAATAATTTTTACATATGTTGTCAAGATCATTGTCCCGAGTAATAATATGAAGGTTTTAGGCCGCGGACGTGGTTTGTTTAGAAGTTATGAGAGGAAGAAGTTTCATGAATGAATTCTTATTTTTCGGTTCCACGTACATTTCGTTCGTGTTTCAAGCGTGTAAGCAGGGGGGGGCTGCGCCCCCCCTGCACCCCCTACAAATCTAACTAACCCTAACCTAACCTAAACTCTTCTTTCTGCATTCCCTCTCGCAAAATTTCCACAATGGTTAGGACATCCTTTTTCATCTAATCAAGTCGTTATTTTCCACAAAATAACGACTTGATTTTCGAGGGGGGAGCAGGGGGAGGGGCAAAGCCACTTCCCCTGCGGGGAGGCGCAGCCCCCCCTGCCTACACGCTTGAAACACGAACGAAATGTACGTGAGATCAAAAATAATGTTTGTTACAGACATTATTTCAAAAAAAGCGTCCAATCGTTCATCAAAATCGAACGTTTTCTTAAATGCAAATTCGGCCAAATAATGATCAAAAAGATATTCTTCACGAACATAGAGGCATTTTCCATGAAACGACCTTTCAAGATACAACTACAAAAGCGTATAAACAAACATGTGCCCAAACACACGCAGAACACATATTCATATATAGGATGTCCAAAAATTACATATTGTTCAGTAGACTTCTTTCCTCTGTAACTTCTAAACAAACAACGGCCGCGGCCTAAAACCTTCATATTATTACTCGGGACAATGACCTTGACAACATATATAAAAATTATTGAAATCGGAGGTGGCTCCCCTATTCTACATAATTACCCTTTCACGCACACACAAGTCACTCTCTTACCTATTATCTTATTTTTTTCGAAAACTGGTGGCTCTATGCAAAAAATGCATACGACATAAATGATGTATTTTTTCAAGAGCTACAACTTTTATTTAAAACATTTTTTTGTGCTATAAATATTTATCAAAATAATGTTAAAAAAACGATAATTTTATAGTTTTGACCTTGAAAATGATCTTGTCGGTGATTTTCACTATCATATTCGTAATCAGCGCACCAAAATACAGTAGTATACCAATCGACAGAAAAATCGGGTGTTTCAGGTTTTCGGAACTGTACCCCATAAAAGTAATTTAAGTCGGAAACCTATGTGGGACAATTATAATCGTAGATTTTGTTTCATCACTTAGTGGGCGGAAGGCGAGAGGTAACTCACGCTTCATGTGAAAAGTCAAAAACGAATGTGAAACAAAACAATTACAGATCTTGCTTCGCTTTATAAGCAGAAGGAAAGGTATGTTTAGTATAAAAACCAGAGTTGGGCAAATTTTATTTAGAATAACGAAGAAATAATAGCGAATGAATTCGTAAAACTTATTCGTGAATAACGAATGACAGTACAGATTTATTCGTAACTAACGAATAAGTTTTTACAAATAAAATCGATTCTTTGTTATTCGCAAATAAATTTTACGAATTTATATTTGTTATTTACAATAACTCCTTGACGAGCAAAGTTCCGAATAAATTAATTGGTATTGGCACACGTAAATATTACTACAAAATTTTCAATAATTAAGCTAAATAGATATAAAAAATAGAAAATTATACGCAACTGTGAAAATTCTTTGCTGTTTAAAATTGTATAAGAAGGTTTTACTTTTATTGAAAATTTAAGAAGTATGATATGAATTAAATTAATAAATTAAGAATAGACCGTTTAGAAAATGTACGTACAAAATATATACAGGATGTCCGACGACTACTTTAGCATCTCGTAAGCAGGTAGGAGTAAAACTGACAAGGGATGGGCACGAATTGCGAAATACGAAATTGAATGAGCTATAGTTCATTCGAAAGGGGAGGTCGAAGGAATAAAAAGTGTAAGAGGGTTTGAGTGCATGGGCCTTAGTTTACGAGAATTTTGCATGCAAAATTAAGCGTGCGGCCAGATGTACGTTAAGTAACATAAATAAGTTAGACTCAGCGTGAAGCGTCGTGGCTGCGGCCTAAAGCGCGCGCTCTGTAATTTTTGGCGTCCGTTGCGAGTTCGAAACCTCGCTGTGCCAACTTTTTTTTTCATTATAACGACTTTATCTATCAACTGAATTAATTGTTCTTATTTTTTGGAATAAAATATTAATAATAACGACACAATTAACTAATTATATATAATAAAGACAAGAACGAGAATTTCAAAACGAACTCAAAGAATTAAAAAACACTCTACAACAAAATGGCTACACACTGCAACAAATAAACAAAGTAATTAAAAAACATCAAAATAAGCTCTCTACCACCATTCAAAATACGCCAGCACCAGAACAAACAACAAACTTAAAGAAACAAACCACTTACCTCCCATACATAAAAGGTGTCACAGATAAGATTGGCAGAATCCTGAATAAACACAACATACAAACGGTCTACAAACCACCGAATAAAATAGGACAGATTCTTAACAATCCAAAAGACAAAAGACCGCCATTAGACACACCAGGAGTGTACAAAATATCTTGTTCATGCGGTAAAGTATACATAGGTGAAACTGGTAGAATGATAAGCACACGACTAAAAGAACATCGGTCAGCAGTACGTCTAAAACATTACTCACAATCGGCATTAGCAGAACACCATTTGGAAACTGGCCACAAAATTATGTTTGACCAAATCCAAGTACTAAACACAACTAGGACTTACTTCCCTAGAAAGTATATGGAATCTCTGGAGATATACAAACATCCAAACAATCTCAATAGAGACAATGGACATATGACTAGTTCATTATGGCATTCTATCTTGCCATAATACATCTCCCCTCCTTCTTACCATTCCACTCCAATCTAGCGCTATAAAAAGGGACACCTGACCAAGAGCATTTCAGTATCAGGCTGCTCTTTAAAACCCTGATGAAGTGAGCTGTAATGTTCACGAAACGTCGGTATAAAAATAACACTAACGCGGTTCAAACCCGAAAAAACATCTTTGTATCTCTATATTGTTCTTTATGTTGTCCCGAAAACGGGACGCAGTAGGTTTTCTACGTATAAATTGCATAACTTTTTATATTAAGCAAATACAGTCAAACCTCGATAAAAATTTTATTCATTTTCTTTTGCTCCACAGAAAGGAAAAAACGCTTTGATAAGTCGAAACCTCTACAACTCATTATCGAAGTTCGACTGTATTACTACGATCTGACGCCAAAAGTTGTAAACTCAGTCGGTAAAACAACGGAGTTCGACCGTCAGTTTAGGATTCTTCTTAAGAAGGGAATAAAATAATTCATATATGAACATATATGTATATATGATACAAATTGGCATCTTGTTTAAATTTTAGAATTGGTATTGATTCGAAGTTTCAGTATATTAATTTACACGTTTTTTACATATATGTATATATATATATATACATTGTTCTTATTTTTTGGAATAAAATATTAATAATAACGACGCAATTAACTAATTATATATAATAAAAACAAGAACGAGAATTTCAAAACGAACTCAAAGAATTAAAAAACACTCTACAACAAAATGGCTACACACTGCAACAAATAAACAATATATACAGGGTGTCCCAGAATTGCAGTACAATCTCTCGTAGGCAGGTAGAAGGAGTAAAACTGAGTCGAAAAGTCCTGAACCATTTTTTTCTATTATTTATAATAAAGGAGTAATTATTGAGTAAATCAGGCCAATCAGCGCAGACCTTTAGCCATACGCACGTCAGTGAGCGCTCACACACACGAGGCGCGCGGCTCAGTTTTACTCCTTCTACCTGCCTACGAGAGATTGTAATTCTGGGCAATTCTGGGACACCCTGTATACATGTACAAGGCTGGGCAAAATACAATATTAAAGTATTTAAAATACAAAATACAAAATACTGTTAATCTTAGTATTTGAATTACAAAATACAAAATACTTTCAATCTTGCGATTTGAAATACAAAATACAGAATACTTCAAAATCGTTTATTTGAAATACAAAATACTTTTTTAAAATACAAAATACTTTTTAATCCAGTCTTTTGATTACGATAATTTATAATAAACTATATTACTTCTTTTGTAAAATAGATTCTGAAAAGAAAGAGGTTTTATGTTGTAGTTTTTTTTTAGAGAACTCAGGAAAAAATAGATTAAATCTAAGTCGATCTAAATTAAATCTAACAAAAGAAAAAAACTGAAATATTATCTTATTAGATCCAAATTAAAAAACTGAAAAATTATATCTAATTAGATCCGAAGGAGATCTAAATAGATATAAGTAGATTTATGTAAATTTACACTTTTATTTATCATTAGATCTATTGTAGGTTTACACACATCAGATCTACTATATCTATTTAGATTTAACTAATATTTTTTCGGCAGATAACATTATATATAAAAAGGAAGTGTTAGGATAATAAACGCTTGGGAAATTTGGTTTTTTGTATTTAAAAACACATGTAGCATAATAAATATACATATATACAGGATGATCCAGAACAACCCGTTATCCTTGAAAATACATATTCTTGACTAAATTCTAAGACAACTTTTTATCTGGCAAAATTTTGTCTGAAGCTTACTTTTTGAGTTATTAATAAAAATAGTTGACTTACCACAAGTCGGATAGAAGAAGTAGGCAGAGGCGGCGCAACTCACCATCAGACGCGAGCGATTACGTGTGGTGCCTAACGCGATCACCTGATCGCTACGCACTGTTTCTGTATCTCTCTCTCTCTTTTTCTTTCACTTATTTATTTACTCATTCGTAATTTGTATCATTTAATCCGTGCATCACATAAATCACTGTCAATCACGGTGAGTTGCGCCGCCCCTGCCTACCTCTTGGATCCGACTTATGGTACGTCAACTATTTTTATTAGTAACTCAAAAAGTAAGCTTCAGACAAAATTTTGCCAGATAAAAAGTTTATTCGCCACTTTTATTCGAATATCTTACGAATAAAAATTTATTCGAAAAATTTATTCGAAATGTTATTCGAACAAAATTTAATTTGAATAATGCCCAACTCTGATAAAAACTAACTATAAATATTACAGTAAGCTTGGAAAGTACATGCTTAGGTGGCCCGGACGTAGCCCGTTCTTTTGTGCGCTCTTCTATATAAAAAAAATAATAAAACTTGGGGGTGTGAAAAGTATTAATGGTCAAAAGTACTGCTTGGAAAGTATATCTGTGACGTGTATTTCACTTCCCTAGAAGGGCTCTACAATGAAAATCCTAGACACTTAAGTTTGTAACTTTAATTTAATAAATATTTTTTTGTTAATAATTTTAACAAACAGTGTGCATTACTTAAAACCTTTTGAAAGTTACTCTAGACTATGACCTTGATACTATATGTCAAAATTAAGATCATCAGAAGCTGCTCTTCTTATTGGCATAATTACCCTATTATGTTAATAAAAGATGATAATTTTAATTGTAGATAAATGTGTGTAACAATAGTTAATTTAATTGCCCAGTAACATTAGTTTGTAGTGACTCTAATATATCTATATTAATTAATTAAAAGATTAAATATAATTCGCTCGTATTGTAAAAACAAAGAATCATAGAATTAATCAAGAGTTAATTAATTAAGTGTCCAATTGACATAAAATTAATCTGTTATATTTGTAATAAATATGTTGTCTTATAAAGATGCAGATATAGATTTTTTAAAATTAAATTTTAAATATAATCTATTTAGATATATAATTTAGATATAAAATTTTAAGTAATTTAAATTTTAAATATTTTACGTATTTATAATTATAGTTATTTTAGTTTTTATTAATGCTTATAGATTTATTTGTAACCAGAACTACTATTGTGACTTGTAGTTTTGGATCATCTTGCAGCATTTCCGACTAACAATAAGCTTACTTGTGAACCACATGTGGCTTTTTTATTGATCAGAATATAATTTTATAGTTTTTTATATTCTTTAAATATATAATTTAAAAATTATTTATTTTTTAAATATAACTACAAATAAGGCTGAGGCAGTCACTTTGGAAAATTCAACAACTCCTGCGGATCCCGTTCCTACTGAAACAGCTGTTGAACTTCAAGACCTTCAGTCAGCTCCACTAATACCTAAATCGGAATCCGTTCTTGATCCAACAGACTTGAGTGATACATCAGAAAGCGATGCCGAAAAACATGGATGTAAGTAATTTTTTAGGAAAATGTAACTTCTATTGCAATTACTTAATGAAACTTGAAGGATACATCAGCTTACATTTAATGCTTATACTTATAAATCGCTATTATAGCACTAACAAAAACAGAAAACGTGATAAAAAATTATATTAGTGTTTGCAGTTTCTATCTAAAAATGTGTATTATTCATTCAGTTGTGGTATTAAATACACACAATGCAGTCATAATAATGCTTGTTCCAGTGAAAATAAATATACGGAGTACTATAGTCTGTACTTCCTTGCATGAAGGTCGGCAAGTCACCAAAGCAACATTGCCTATCCACATCGACCAACTGTTTACTTTGCTGTTTACAAACTCGAAATTCTTCTTAGATTTTCATACTGCTCGCAAAACCACTGGTAACAAAATAATATTAATTCCGTTATATGTGCACTTATCAATAAAAAAACATCCTTTATTTAGCCTAAATATGATTAAAAAGCTTTCCGAATCATCTTAAGAATATATTCTGAAAAGATTGAAAAAGTATTTTTGTACGGTTACAAAAAAATTAAATAACATCAAACTTTGCATATTCTTGTAACTTTATTTATTAATATATTTTTATCATAGACTTAGAACTATAGACTAGAAATTGCGGGATAACGAGCTCGCGACGCTTACAGATCTAACTAATTTCGCGTATTTTTTTCGCATCGTTATATTGTCATTAAGTCTATATCTGTATGTCTATGATTTTTATTGTTTAATTGTAAATAACAAAGACGATCTTTTGTTATTTCAATAACTTGACCAATTATATTTGTTGTTCTCCAGAAGTGCTAGATTGCAGCTCGAAATCTGACCACAACTGCTTTTTGGTCTTATTCGAGCAGAAAAAAATAACGGTAAAAAAAGGAAAGAGAAAATTTCGGTTCACAATCTGGCATTTCTGATTATATCCTGATTATTAGGAATTTTTCAAGTAAAACGTACGAAGTAATATTATCTTATAAATATCTGTAACAAAATTTTCTTATTCAAAAGAAGTGTGGCTATGAAAATGTCTGAACTAGAATAAACATTATACGTTTGTTATAGTTTTTTTAAATAAAAGTTTTAAAAAATTAAAATTTTTTATTAAAAAGGCTGTTATTTTGTCTAAGATAAAAATATTGAATGAGTTTTAGTTCAGATGATCATTATACTTCTTCTAAATAAGAAAATTGTTTTTGTGCTACAGATAAGCAAGAGCATTTATGCTTTTATAAATAAAGTTGCACCAATAATATTTCAAGAATATCTTAGCAAAAGTGTAATTTTATGTATAAAGACATATTAACGCTTCTGCCTGGTACCTGTAGAGTCAAAATCACCTACAGCAGAGATCTTTAAATAGGAGTACTCGACAATAGTCGACAAAAAGTATGTTATAAAATTAATTAAAAAGTTTTAATACAGAAAGTGTTTTTTCACGTCTCTTTTATTCTCGTTTGCATTTTGGGATACGCAATACACATCTTGATAGAAAAAAATTTGAAAAACGAGAAATATTAGGAATTCCTGACTTACATCATACGATTTTTTGCGGGTTTTTAATGACCAGAATATAATAGATTACAAGAAAAGAGCATTTTTATCTCTCTTAAACTATAAAAATATATTTTTAAAGTAAGATTAAACGAATATATAAAATCTAAAGTAATTCGGTTTTTTATATTCCTATAAAGAATTTCTAAAAAATATACTTTTTTCGATCTTTCCAAAATATCTCAAAATATCTATATCATGTTATATGCATTGTTGTATATACAAAAAATTATTTAGTACAATATGTACCAATATGTATTGTGTTCTTATCTAATGGCTTTTCCTTTCTACAGATTTAATACAATCTGCATGGACGCAAAACAGTCAAACTGATCAAAAGATGAGAACACTTTCGTTTACAATAGCTTTGACTCAGGCTATTGGTCCAAGGACTTGTCAAGTTACAGAAACACAGGTGAATACAAAATTTTATTCTTTAGCAATGTGTTACTCTTTAAATATTTCAATAGTATAAACATTGTTTCTCTAAATACAATATTATGTGATACAATATTAGGTGATGTTACCATGCAGTAGACCGGGTCATCTTTATTGTATTGATGTAGAAAGTATTAATGCTGGTATACCTTATGCAGATTCCTTCAGTGTTTTAACGCATTATTGTATGAATAATATTTCTGAAAACGAAACAAGTCTTACGATTTTCTCGCAAATTAAGTATAAAAAGAGTGTGTGGGGTTTTATGAAAAGTAAGTCTAAAACATGTTAAAATAAATATATTTATTACATTAATAGAAATCATTGAATAATAGACTAATAAATTTTATTCTTGAAAAATAGGTGTGATTGAGAAGAATTGTTGGGCAGGTTTAGAAGAGTATTTCAATAGTTTAGTGAAAGCTTTAACAGTAGAGTGCGAAGAAGGTAGTATAAGCGGAGGTTTGAAGAGAAAAACAAGAAAAAGACGCCGCGCAACAGGAGTAGCCGCTACATTGCAAACACATCCTTCCGAACATATATCTGCAAATCATCAAATTTCTCCTTCCATTTTACCACACGTTCATGGTAATAGAAAGCAATTTTCTTAATAATAGTATGATAATATATTTGTTGGATACATATATAATATTAATTCTTTTTCCACAGCTGTTACTACTAGAAGCGATACTAATATAATTATTAGTTCGATGCTACTGGTTGCTGTATTGTGTTTAATGGTAATTAACGGTTTGTTGTATTATAAATTATGGGGATTGGAAGAAGCCGCTGCATATACTATCATGGATTTACATGTACTCAAGTATGTATAATCAATTTTTTTCTTTTATGTGAAGGGATATTCTTTTTAATATGTGTTTTAATGCATTTTTTTATTTCTTTCAGAAATACACCAAAGACTGAAGAGGATTGGATTAGTCTTTTGCAACAACAAGAAAGTTTGCACAATGTAGAAATGAGAAAATGGCAAAGAGTTTTGCATACAGCTGCACAATTACTTAGACAAGTAAGATTTAGAGAGGATTAAACATTTTAAAGTTCAGATTTTAGATTAATGAATGTTGACAATATATTAATCTTATATATATTTTTGGTATACATAGTTTCTTAGTCAATAAATCAATCACATATATTCCACAGATAGTGCTTTAGGTTTAATATTAATATTTTATGCTTATTTTAAAAAGACAGAGGAATCTTTAACGGAACTACAAATGAGTATCCATCCCACTGCAACGGAAAAAATGTTCTCAGTATTAAAGCCAAGTTTAAATAGTATCAATGCACATACAGAACGGCGGAGCAAATCAGAAATGTAAAAATCTATATAATTAAAAGAAAACAAATTTTACGATTACACAATATCGAAATGTTTATATTAAGTCTTCATATAAACAAGACCATCTGTGTTGTGTAAAAGATTGCACATTATATTTGTGTGTTTTATTATTGTATTAATTATTTTCTAAGTCGTCGATAAATGTACATTACATGTACAGTTTAATTAATTATAGCGGCTTTTATATTAATAGCGTTACGGCAAATTTAAACTTGCTTTATATATAGGCGTTGTGAAAAATGATATGTTATAAATATAGTAAAAATGGTAATTATTATACAGTTTGGCTAATTCACTTTAAATATTGACAGATGTTTGCTTGAGTTGTCACATTTAAAAAATAAAGTGTAACAAACCATGTTAATTTTCAGAGACACGGTTTGAAATACGCTTGATATATTTGGGATTACACTGTTCAATACATTTTTGGGACCTCAATAAAGAAAGTATTTTCTAGTAGATTTTTAGTAGCTGAAAACGAATTCGGCGGCGAAAATAGCCTACCACGTCAGGTTTTCGAGAAAATTGAGATTACATGTGCCAAAACTGGCGTTTTTAGCTAAACTTATCATTTTTTTGCAATAAACTAAATTTTTTTGCAATTGTATTTAAGCCACGTTAAAGTGCTATCCTTTATTTATAATATGAATTATATTGTATATTATTTATACTGGGTGTCTGATGAAAACCGTATCACCGCTTGTAGGCAGGTAGAAGAGTTTATTCTGAGAAGAACAGTCCTTTACCATTTTGTGAGATTCGCAATAGTTAACGAGTTGTTATTAAATAAAGATCCGCGAATGAGCGTACAGCCACGTGCAAAATAACAGCTCGGAGCTGTCATTTTTTCGCGCGCTCCTGTTTGGTTGGTTTGGTTTGGTGCGCTTATGGCTCGTAGACCTATGGAAAGGTTCGTCTATACGCCAGTCTATAGTCTCTTTTTTTTTTTTTTTTTT